TTTTGTTAGGGATTAGAGGTATTTAATCTTAATCTAAGGGTAATTTCACTTTAAGTAGTTTATGATTAAAGATTTAATTTGACTTTTAGGTGTCTCATATTTAGGAGGATTATAAAGAATCTATAAACTAGCCACCGCTTGCTTTGAGGCAGGCCTATTGCTTATGAAGTCCTAAGATACAATAATACAAACATTCTATCTTTTGGGTTGGAATGGTTGATCATTGTATCAAAGAAAGCTTAGCCAACTTTAGAGATTTTTTTTCAGAGTTTTCTTAGTGTTTGGATAAGTGGTGAATGTTCATCTAATAGTGTAAGGTGAACAAGCATTAGAGTTGCACTTAGAACTTTGTGAAGTTTATCTAATAGAGTAAGATAAACTCCAACAGATATAAGATTCTTAAGGGACATCTGAAGGTTATGTATTTTAAATGTCATAGGAGAGATCATGTATAATAGTTTAATAAAAATGATTTACTAAGAGTTTCGGCTTAAGAAGGATGTGTCCAACATATAGCTTTTAGGCTAAATGTTGGAGGGTTCTCCTTTGCTTTTGGAGCTAAAGAGAAAGAAATATCCCACAACATGGAGGTTATAGGAGAAAGAGAGGAAACCTATGACTTTTGGGCTAGGTTGGAAGTCCATGAAGGCTTTTGGAGCTCATAGAAGTGAGGGAAGACTTATAACTTTAAGACTACAAATCAAGAGGTCTCCTTGAATCTTTGTATTCAAAGCGGAGGATTCATTTGCTTAATTTATGCTAAGTAAATGACATGATAAATCAATGAATTTGATTTTGAATGATGAAATTTTTGTTTGCTAAACGTAGGTAAAGCAAACATGAGAAGATGATGTGTAGATTTGGACACACATCATGAGTACTTTGGACTTTTAGGTGCCTAAAGAGAGGAACTCAATCACCTAACTTGAGTTAGGAGAATGATAAAAAAGATAAGATTTGAGTTTTTGTGCTAGAGGCGATGTTATTTGTTGATTTTAGTTCAACACAAATATTTTGGGTGTAGGTTTGATTCACTTAACATGGGTTTAGTGAATAACAAAATCTCTTACAACTTTTGAGTTGTATAAGTAATGAAGGAATATGCAACTTGTGGGTTGCAAATTAAGAAGAGTTATCATTAAATTTTATGTTCAATGATGGG